TCACTTGCTTCAGCCATAGAAATTAGTTATAGCACTTTGGAGACAGTTTGCCATGCTGTACTACAAACCCAGACCCTATGCTATTTAGAGATCAAAATGAGCCTCTTTCACTACCTTAGTGACAAATGAAACATAATGTACCAAGGTTTCCCTGTATGTAGCTGTTACCAGATCTTTTCCCTTACTACTGTGAAACTTAAGACACTCTCTTCCAAATGCCACAGTCTTTTGTTTCTACATAAAAGTTGCCCACCTCAATAGGACATTACATGCAAGGTGAGCACGTTTGTGTGCAGACAGGTTGTGTGCAGTGAAAAAGAGGGCAGCAGAAAGGGTGAATGAAGAAACTAAGTATCTAGTCCTGTGGCACAACACCCTAAGTCTTCCCTTTAGCAATACAAATTGTGCTCTTTCTTTGAGTAGTAAGGGGAGCCAGTCAGCAGGAGACACAAAATTTTTTGACAGAAAATTTACAGATCTTTCTACAGTTATACCTTTTAAAAAGGAAGAGTAAAACATAGCAAGATAAATCATTATGCCAAGTACTCTCATGAAAAATAGCAACCATTTAAGAGCAACACTGCTTTTTTTAGCACTGAAGGTCATTACAAGAACTGAGGCTGAAAGCTGAAGGCAGACACATTCTAATCTGAAATACAGAACAAGGGCTTTGCAGCAAGGCAACTAAAACTGGAAAACACTGTGAAGGCAAAGCAGGAACTCACATTTCTTTATGTCTGCAAGTGATTACTTTTCTAGAAGAAATGATTCAGTGCAACAAAGTTATCAGGTACCTGAAGGAAACGTGTATGACATATGGGAGGTCAGTTTGGATGAACTGATAATTCTATCCATCTTTAAACCCTGTGAAACTGAAAAGATATCATTACTCAAAAGCATGTCCTAGCTCACTAATAGAATGTGCCTTATGTTTTCAGTGTTTCTGAGTTTCTCCATGAAGAGCAATGTTAATCACTTAGTTAAAGCACTCAGTGCCAATAGACTCTTCAGCTGGCACACAGCACCGTGTCCCCACTCCTTTCGCAGCAGCATCCTCTTGGTAACAGAAGGCATTTTCTTAAATGACATGGAATGAGACTCCCACAAACAGCTGAGCTGTTGGTAGGTAACAGCCAGGCTTGTTGCCTACTTGTATTTATACCCCAGAACACTGCTGCTTTTAAAGCTAGATTTGGATGATCACCCACAGCATACAGCTTCAAATCAGTTTCATTCAGCCTATCTTTTTTGCATATGTGTGCACAAAGCTAAGTAGCATCTTCTAGTTCAGCTGGCCTAACCCAGTATGTGTTACATTCAATTTCAATGAAACTACAATTAGGCAAGGGCAGCTCAGAATTTCTTCTGTTATACCAGAACAGAATTACCAGCTAGCAATTTCCAATCAAAACAGAAATTATATCTAAACAAGAAGAAAAATAATCTTACAACTTGCACTTTTAATCAAGTGGATCTGGAGCTTTTAATTTTATTCTTCTTTTTAAAGACATGACTTCACGCATTGCAACTGGTTGAAACAGAGAAGCTGTTCAACTGGTATTGAAACAGGGAAGTGGCAGCAAGTTCCTAGAACAGCAAACACAAGCTGACAGTAAAACTTCCAATATTTTGCAGTGCTTGATCCAGGTTTCTGCCTTTTGTCTAAGATATCTACAAAATAGAGATTGGCTGTCAGACTGGATTCTGCACTCACAATTCAGGTTCATCAAAGAATGACACTGGCAGAACATAACATGACACTGCATTGCAATGTAAAGGCAACTGAGGGTATTTTCGGGGCTGCAGTCCACTGCCCTTATAGCATGGAGCAATTTGAAGCAATGAAAGGAGGAGGCTGCAGACTTTTCTTTGCTGAATTTTTGACTGTCCAATCTTGTTTTTCAATCATCACATTTCATTTCTCTAGTCTGAAAATGGAAATACAAAAGTGAGTGTATAAATGGATGTTTCTCTTCATTCCTGAACACTGCGGGTTTATAAAAGCCAAGTTTTCTCCAAGGGACCCTTGCACAGCCTGGAGATCTCCTCTGACAATAAAAGAGAAGCAGTTCTGCCTTCACTAGGGTCTCCTCCTAAAATTTCTGTGCTTTCACTGAGGCCATGAGATGCAAAGATACCAGGGAAACAGAGCAGCAATTTACATTGACAAAGAGGATTTTGATACACTCCTCCAAATGGGGCAGCATTACCATCTTAATAGCCTTTTGCTCTCAGCCCTCTTCCTGAGGACCCTGGAGATTTTTGCAAATGGAGAACAGTTCCGCTTCCCATTTTAACTGCAACAATAGCAGAAGGGCTCCTTAAACTGCATCAAATAGCAGTCTGTGAAATCCCTAACTAGCCGCGCTGCCTCTCCTGCCGTTTTATTATCCTCCAGCCCACAGAACAAAGCGGGGGAGAGCTCCTCCTATTTTTTTTTTTTTTTAGCCTATTCCACACATCCTAATCCCTCAGAGGTGGCAATAGAAATTGCTTGTGGAACTGTTAAATCACACTTTCACTTTGTCTTTCATTCCCCATTCACCCTTGCTAATCAGGGAGCTTCCAGCCACATTTTCCGATATCAATTTGTTTATGGCCTATTGGTTAATGGTCCCGGGATGGGACCCCCTGAGTAAAAAGAAAGAATCCTGGGCACTTCAGCCAGCTGCTGCTTCTCACCAGTTCCCACATCCACCCACTTGTTCCCATCAGCCACCCTCAATGTGCTCACCTCCTGACACCAAGGGAATTAAACTACAAAGCCTGAATGGGAGAGTTGTCTTTGCGGGCAGGCTGGGGGACAGATCCCACTGGTTAGCGCCGCGTGGTGTCCCTCAAGCAGCCACCGGCTGGCCCATGGCTACTTGCCTGACTGTCATCTTACCTTGCATCCAGCTTCCCTTTGGAAAGAAGCACCAAGTACAACTCTCAGAAAAACTCTAGCCTCTTTTGAACAAGGCAGCCTGGTGCCACTTTCTGCATCTTATCCACACCAGACATTTCCTGGTGATTTGCTCACTTCCTGTTTCCACTGAAATAATGATCACTGAAATGTGGGATGAGACCATGCAATATTTACTTTTACAAATCAGTGAGATGGTTCATGTGTAAATGCTTACAAGTCTCTGTAAGAGAGTCTGGGGCACATTATCAGGGGAACCATACCCTTCCTTTTCTACCCATCTTGGAGAAAAAAATCTAAAATACAAACATAATGATGTAGCCACAAATTAATAAAGGGCTCACACAGAGAAGACATTCTTGTTGCCTTTCAAAATGCACAAAGAATGCCAGATATCAATACATAAATTACTTAAAGAAATCCAAACTGGTACTTCATCTGTTTGTTAAAAAATGGCAAATGATGTTTTATATGTATATCCCAGAAACATATGGGTACAGGGAGAAGAGCAATTGCCTCACTTTTAATCCAGTGATATCCTCCTATCAGAGTGCTGCTCCACCATTATGTGTAACCAGGCCTATTTGCTCTTTAAAGGTATGGTTCAGACCTGGGAAAGCTATATTCATGGCTCACAGAAAAGAGCTGAAAAAATTAAGATTGCCTCTGAACAAATTCTCTCAGTTTCTGAAATGGGAAAACTTTCTTTCCCAAAGTATCACTACATTAGTGCCTGAAGACAGAGCAGGAAATTGTCTGCCTTTTTTAATAATAACCAGAAACATCTATGTAACTCAAGATATCCAAGACAGAAAAGTAGTTTATCATCTGCTCTATACTGAAACAAAACATATCAAGACCAACTCTTGCAAGCAGCCTCTGGTTAAACTAATAAAAATTGTTTCTAGTTCCTGCAGACTTTTAGAATTACTGGTACCAAATAAAGCAGATCAAGTGCCCAAAATGCTATCTAAACATATACTGAACATAGTATCCAAAGGCTTAGGAAATACTGTATAGACACCTCCCCCCTCATTACAATTATGTAGTTGTAGAATAGAACCAAAAACGCACCATAAAACATTTTCATTTTGTTTGTTTTCTGACATTTTGCCTTACCTGAGATGTAAGCATATTGAGTCACTAGGAAATATAAATATGTCATTAGTCTGGCACAGTCTGCTTGAATGTGAGAAAAGTGCAATCAGAAGGAGAACTGTTCACATCCCTTAAAATGTCCATAGTGCCTCATGGGATCAGTGATTCTCCATCACTGGAAACTGAGAACCAGCTATACTCACTTGTCTTATTGCCCTGGCTGCATATCATTGTGTCCTCCCTGAACAGAAAGTGACAGGCACTGACTAGTTTTATTCAGTCGGTTAAACTGATGCAGTGCTAAGGAGCCAGGCTGCATATCAAAAGACATCAACTAAACAAAATTGATCTATGAATGTTTGTCAAAAAGTAAGGATGTTTGTTGGGATAAATGGGAAAAGAAGGGAAGAGTTGAACTTCCCTCTTTGCTGTGTCTAAAAGTATGTGATTCAGGACACAGCCACGGGGAATCCAAGTTCCCTGTCAGCATGGTCAGCTTTTCAATATACTACTTCATATGCTAGAGAGTCTGAGGATAATTAAAGACCATTGGGCATTAGCATTAAAATGATCACAAAACCAGAAAACAGATATTAATTTTCTGTATTCTTATTGATGCCAAGCCATTTGCTAAAGAAGAACCATTTATTAAAACAGGTTATTAATGATAGATGGGTACGTTTCCTGAAGAAACCTATCCCATAGGACCCCTTGTTACCCAAACCATTCCACTTTACCTTGGAGAAAAACAGGGACCCCTGGTTAATAATTTCAGGGCCCATTTCTAGATTCATGGAAATATGCAAGAACTAATTTAGTGTAATCCAAGAAAAAACAGTGAATTCACCAGAATGCTCCCCTTGTTAACCAGTATGTTTAAATTTGTGGGGTTTTAATTTGGTATAAACAGCACCATTTTCAAAAATAGTTGTTATCTACATTCAGTCTGCTTAAAATACTAATTGAAAAGGCAAAACAACCAATTCTCTAGTCTTACCCTGAAGAATCAAGCCTGATTTCTCAATGGTGTAGAAAAAAGTGGAGAATGGAGCAACAGGGGATTTAGCAACCAGGAGCTGCAAAGCAAATATATGATGTAAGTATGCATCTTTATAACGTACTGATCAAAGCTCAAATCTGCAAAAACATCTCACCAGATTTAACTTCCAGAAGTAATAAAGCACACTTCAGAAATAACACATAGTTATTGATATAGCCCTATCACTTCTAAGTAGTTGAGATCTTCTCATACACATATATAGATCATGCTGCAATTTTAAAAGGATTTACAGGTCCTAAAAAAACACCATAATGGAAGCAGTACATTCTGCTTGTCTCACACTGCCATTCCACTAAGCTTAACCATTCCTGCTGGTTCAGGCTTTTGCACCCAAAGACAATTTTGAACAAAACTGCTACTGCGATATACAGGGACTTTTTAATTGCCATCAGGCATTCCACAGATATGCCTCCTTGGCTTCTCCAACAACTCCACCCACTGTCTTTATCCTGCCCCTGGAAGCAGCATGTCTACTCATGTGCCGTCACACCGGGGATGGTAACATGCCATTGCAAGTATCTGGATGTCCTCTTCTGCAAAATGGGTAATGACCATGTCAAGCTTTATTCAAGGATCTTGCACTTGAAATATCAAAATAGGAACTGGAATTCCCTCGGGGTGGGTGTAAAAAGCAATTGAATTTAGCCTGGCATTAGGGTGACACCAGAAATAAACCCAGCTCCCTGGCTCCACTATGGTAGAACCGTCCTCTGTGGAAGACAAGCCTGCAGCAGAACTGCAGAGACAGAAATGGGAAGAGTAGGGAATGTGGGACCTTCAGGTGGCAAACTCACACAAATGTGCCCAGCTCTATTGCTTGCCTGTTTGATTTTTGCTCATTGCCAAGGACTGTTCCTCCACAGCTTGCCTAACATAACCCTCATGGCGTCACCTGCATGAAAGTGACATTTTTATAACCTGAAACCAGGATATGATACTGTGAATACTTTGTCAATACTCCAACTAGGAAACCTGCCATAGTAGCACTTTCTCCTCTTCCATGTTAATTACCATGTTATTCTCTCTGGGATTATTTTCTGGAGAAAAGGGTGGCAAGTCACATCCCACATGCCTGATGCACTCTAACAAAAGCTGAATTCCTTTGCCTGTCACCACAGAATAAGCTGAGCTGGAAGGGATGCACAAGGTTCATCGAATCCAACTCCCAGCTCTGCACAGGACCATGAGTCACACCATGTTTAGGGCATCTTCCTAAACACATCTTGAACAGGCTTGACGCTGTGACCACAGCCCTGGGGAGCCTGTTCCAGAGCCCAATCACCCTCTGCATGAAGAGTGTTATTCCAATAGCTAACCTAAACCTCCCCTGACACAACTTCAGGCCATTTCCTCAGGTCCTGTCACTGGTTACCACAGAGACAGCAGGAGGAAGACTGCCAGGGAGAAAGTAGAGTGAAGAGGAGCTGTCTCCAGGTGCTTTGCACACTCCCTCAGCTCTGAAAATACAAGGGAGAGGATGGGGTGGAAAAACGGTGCAAACACTCACTTAGAGTTTCCCACAACAGTTGGCAGTTTAATTGGAAAGGCCTGAAGTGAAACAATTACGATTCTGACATCTAAGGTCAAATTTTTGTCATTCCATGCACTACTATGCACATAAATACTAACCTATATATGCATGTGCACTAGGCACAGTTATACATGCACATGGATAGACATTCAAATAACTCTATGTACATTCTGTTACTGCATTTTTATTCACTTACAGTATGTGCATAGCTATGTATAGCAATGAAAGACTATAATAAATCACTTCCTTTCAGCAGCACATCACAGGGCCCCTCTGAAAGGTGGCTGCTGCACAGCTACATCTGAGACTCTGAATTAGCTTCATTTTCAGTGAAATGGAAACAGCTCAGAACACTCAAAGGTATTGCTTTATATTGAATGTTTGCTTGCTGAGAAAAAGAACCTTTTAAGTACAACTCCACATTTCACAAGCAGATAGAGTACAGAGAATTCATTTTTATAACATCAAACTATAGTATTCAACAGAACATTAAAAAAAAAAGTAAATATGTATTTAAATTTGTTTCTCCAGCAAAATCAAAAATCGGTAAAAGTTCATTGCAAACTATCCTCTAGCTGGAACAGTCAACATAGAGTAGGTTCTTACATATAGACAAGGAACTTGTAAAGCATGGAAGGAAATACATATCAAAAGAAGAAAATGATGTTTTGAAGGCCAGGAAGTGGAAGTATAAATTAAGGATTACCAAAAATCAGGTAATGTTGACTCTGGAAAGATTATTAACAGTAGCAAAAGGTAAATAAAAGTTGGATTTATAATGAAATGACATGGAAACAGCTCAGAACACTCAAAGGTATTGCTTTATATTGAATGTTTGCTTGCTGAGAAAAAGAACCTTTTAAGTACAACTCCACATTTCACAAGCAGATAGAGTACAGAGAATTCATTTTTATAACATCAAACTATAGTATTCAACAGAACATTAAAAAAAAAAGTAAATATGTATTTAAATTTGTTTCTCCAGCAAAATCAAAAATCGGTAAAAGTTCATTGCAAACTATCCTCTAGCTGGAACAGTCAACATAGAGTAGGTTCTTACATATAGACAAGGAACTTGTAAAGCATGGAAGGAAATACATATCAAAAGAAGAAAATGATGTTTTGAAGGCCAGGAAGTGGAAGTATAAATTAAGGATTACCAAAAATCAGGTAATGTTGACTCTGGAAAGATTATTAACAGTAGCAAAAGGTAAATAAAAGTTGGATTTATAATGAAATGACATTGGGATAGTGATTAAATATATTCCTCGATATCAGTGGAAAAAAAACTTTCCTCAAGCAAGACAATACCAAAAAAGAAGAAAAGGCAGGTAAAGGGAATTATCCATATCACATTGATATATAGAAATAACAACTGAATGGAATGAAAACTCCAGGAATTTAGCACATTCAGCAGAAGTAGATAATCTCTATTGGGAAACCATTCTAAGAAACAGCATGTGAATTTAGGCCTGAGAGCTAGTATATGTCACTCTCCTATGAACTTGAAGATGATGCAACATAACTGAGAAGCAGCAAACTTAGTCCCCCTAAAAGAAGAGAAAAAAAATGTAAACAAGTAAGTTGGTGCCTGTAACATGATAGTACCATGCAGGGCTTTAGAAGAAATTTTTAAGTGAGGAATAACACAACTTGGATGCAGGACTCAAAGGCATAATAAGTAAATTTGCTGATGATAGAAAATTGTGAGGAGCTGTTGACTCTCTCAGAGACAGGGAGGTCCTGCAGAGAAACCTTGAAAATTTAAGGGACTGGGCAATCACCAAGTTTAACAATGGGAAGCGCTGGGTTCTGCACCCAGGATGGGGCAACACTGAATGTAAGGACAGACCAGGGAATGAGGGTCTGGAGAGCAATGCTGTGGAAAGGAACCGGAGGGTCCTGGTCTGTGGCAAGCTGAACAGGAGTCAGCAGTGCCCTGGCAGCCAGGAGGGCCAACCCTGTCCTGGGGGGCATCAGGCACAGCATCACAGCTGGGCAAGGGAGGGGATTGTCCCTTCTGCTCTTCACTGGGGCGGCCTCACCTCCAATGCTGGGGGGGCAGTTTTGGGTGCTGGCAGTATAAGAAGCATACAAGGGTGTAAGAGAGTGTCCAAAGGAGGGCTACAAAGATTGTGAAGCATCTTGAGGGGAATACGTAAGAGGAGCAGCTGAGGTCACTTGGTCTGTTCAGCCTGGAGATGAGGAGACTGAGGGGGGACCTCATTGCAGTCTGCAACTTCCTCACGAGGGTAAGAGGAGGGGCAGGCACCAACCTCTTCCCTCTGGTGATCAGAGACAGGATGGAATGGCTGAAGTTGTGTCAGAAGAAGTTTAGATCAGATATTATAACAAAAGTCTTCACCCAGAGGGTGGCTGGGCATTAGAAGAGGCTCCCCAGGAAAGTCACACAGCACCAGCCTGAGAGAGTTCAAGAAGTGTTTGGGCAACAGTCTCAGGCACATGGTGTGATCCTTGGGCTGTCCTATGCAGGGCCAGGAGCTGGACTCTGTGACCCTTAAGAGTTCCTTCCAACTCAGGATATTCTATGATTCCATGAACAAAAGTCTTGGAAAATGGGGTAAAAGAAAACATGGCTGTCATGCCAGACATATATGACATTCTTCTTTGACCTTTTTTTAGAAGTCTGATATAAATTTGAACTCATCTCTTCAGATCTCTGTAAAGCTTTTAACGCTGCTAAATGGGAACTGATAATGAAGAAAACAAGGATAAGCACAGAAGCTGTAAGACAAAAGGGGAAACAGTTATTGGAAAGAAGACTCTTCCTAGGTGTACCTGAGATATTAGTATCTCACTTAGATTGACCCATAAGGTGATGTGGTCAAGACAGTGACAGACCCAGTTGTATGGTGCACCACCACATACACCTGGTAAAACCAGGGACACCTGGGTGTTTCTGTAAAAGACATCAGCAAGGCTTAATCTGGGAGACCGTGTACTGTACAGGTCACTTATGAACCCAAACTGCAAGAGAGGGGCTGTATGCTGGCAAGGAGACTGGAGTGCTCATCTGAGACGGCACTAAAAAACATTAGCTCAGTGAATCTGGCAAAAATGAAGACTGACAGTGTCTGTGTGTGTAAGTGAATGGGAAAAGAGGAAATGAGAGAATGAAGCAGGAAGAAAGAGAAGAACTTCTCGAACTGACAACACCGGTAGAAGAACGGATTTGCAGCCATAAAGACATTTTGGCTGGAAATTTTGAAGTTCATAACTATCAATAAAGTGAGACTCTATAAGAGCCTTCAACTCAAAGAGGCAAAGCTAAAAAGTTAATCTTTGTTTTTAGGATTCAGATTAAAATGTTTATGAAAGGGATGTGAAGCACTTCATGACCTGTTAAGTCTCTTCAAGTCCTATGGGCTTCCTGACAGCATCAAAGCCCTGCCAACACATGTTTTATGCTGTTAGAACTGACAGAGTTGGAACAATGAATGCTAACAATGTCCTTTGATGGCTGA